TATGGTTTGATTACAAATAGGATTCCAAGTGAAAAATAGTTTCTTCTACAATAATTTTGAAGAGACTACTCAGCTTCTGCTGGCTTCTTCTGTTGCTGCTGAAAAGTCTTGTTTCAGTTACCTCTTGCTGAGTAGGAAACTGTCCCAGATCTTAGTGCTTGGAACAATGACGTATTATGGTCACAATTCTCTGGGTTGGCTGGTGGTTCTCTTGCTGGATTCACACAGCCTGTCTCATGTGATGGCATCCAGCTGGGGCATAGCTGGGGAATGGGTTCAACTGGGGCTTTCTCTCTTTGTGGTGCTTCATCCTTAAGAGGGCTGATCTGGACTGGACTTCCTCTCACAGTGGCAGCAGTGTCCCAGAAGAAGACTGTAACACAATAGCAGCTTATTAAGCGTTTGCTTGCAATATATTTACTGATGTCCGATGGACATCAGCAAAAAACCAGAGTTTGAGGCTGATTGTACAAGGGCATGGGTACTGGGAGGTTTGATTTACGGGGCACCATTGGTGTAAGACTCTACGACAGTCCACCTTCTGGCCCCAGTGTTTCATACCCCTCCATACGCAAAACATACTCACACCCTAACAAGACCCCTGTCCCAAACTCATCAAGTTGCAACAGTGAGCTTGAAGTCTGTAATCTCATGGTCTACGTCACGCCAATGTGGAGTACTCTCTGTGGATGCTTTTGACTTTGATCCAGAGAACTGTGATTTAAAAAGACATGCAAACCTGCCTTCCACACACCTGAACACAATGGTGAGATGAGGACAAGATGACTGCAGCAGACACTCTCATTAAGAAGGGCAGGGACAGGATGCACATGGAGGTCACTGGTCCATAGCAATTCTGAAATCCAGCTGATCTCATGTCAGGGCCTGTGTCTGGCGAAAAGGAATCTTCCTTGATTAGGGCCAGTTCTGCCCATAGAAGTAGCTCTCTAATTCATGATTTCCCATGATTTTTGGTTCCATGCTCTGAGGTTCTTCCTCCTGAAACATCTTTTCTTTCCCAAAAGAAATAGCCAATGATTTCACCTGAGCAATTTTCTCAGACTCCTTCTGGTCTGCAGGAAGTTGAGAGTCCCAGAGGTATCTTTTCTTTTTGAATGATTTCTGCCTCTTTTAATCCAAACTTGTACAATCCTTTGAAAACATTGTGAGCTTTCTACAAATCTGATTGCCACTCACTCCATGTCCCAAAAGCCACACCCGTAAATCTTTTTGAGCGAGCTCTCTCTACTTTGGACCAAGGGTACTGCTGCAGTGAAAGAACACTTTAAGATTCTTAGAAGTGCTTTTTTCCTAGTTGAGATAAGCTACTAGACTGACGTCTTTTCAGGGTCTTAACAAAGGGTCTTATGACACATTCTTGATTTACTCTTTACCTTGAGGCCATTTCTCATTTTGAGAGTCTTGTGCCAGCTGGAGAGCCTGGAAATGTGAAACAGTTTTATTTTTCGACCTGGTAAGTCTGGATTGGAAATTCTGCTTGCATACTGAGTAGTTCTCTCTTTAGCTCATCTTCATCTTCGCATCTCTTATCATATGCAGCTAACAGAAGCCAATTGGCACTTTCAATATTCTGCCTAGAAATTTTATCTGCATGCGTATGTTAATTTGGTATGTTTTCCATTTTCCAGGTTAATGCAAACCGTAGTTTTACCACTTGTTCTATTACTACAAAACATGGGTCATCGTCTTTTAAGCCTCTAGTGTCAGTCTTCTCACTGTCCTTCCAGCCTCCATGTAAACCTCCTCACTGTCCTTCCAGCCTCCCCCATTGCTCCCGATAAAGCCAACTCTCCATGTTTCAGGTCTTGGTTACAGCAGGGCCTTATCCAGACCACTTTTCTGTTTTTTTAAATCTATTGCTGCAAAACAAAGCCCCCTAAAGTGGGATAATGTATATAATGATGCAAAGCACTATACAAATCTGAGAAATAATCTTTTCATTATTATTTCAGAAGGCATTCAATCTGAGGATATAAAAACTGCTCTATTCCGTGAGAATGGTAGAAAAGAGAGTCAACACAAAACTATTAACATTGCTCACTAATTTTTGGAAATGTGATACCAGAAAGTCCTATTAGAGGCTTTCAATGTCTTTCATCCCAAACAAAAGGCATAGTACAACAGAACTGAGATAAAGGTATCTTATTTTAATCTATATTTTTTAATTAGATAGTTGATTTTTGATGCATTTACCCGGAATTTAGGAAAGGTAGATTGGTTTGCCTTTGCTCCTGTGAGTGGATTTCAGTAACAAGTATCAAGTAGGGATTTAGAAGAGCTGGCTCCCAGTGTCACCTCTGACACCAAGTGTGTGACCTTGGGCAAGCCACCTCATCACTCTAGGCTGTACTCTCATTTGTGATGTACCAGGTTAGGCTTTATGCTCTTCATCATCTCCCCTAACCTTAACAGTCAATGACAGAATAATTTAAGCCTTTAAACTAATCTTTTCCATCTGGAAATTGGACTTATCATCAAAAGAAGACAGTGTTAGTATTTGGGAAAACTCCTGAGACAATTTTTATAAAATATCTTATGCTATTTTAGGTAAAGTACCATTAACAATCCCAAGCTTTTATTTACTAATAAGCTTGATCCTAAGGTAAACTAATAGGGGTAAATCGCTTCCTTACAATATGTTGATCACCCCACAGGGATTAACCTGATTGAAGTAATTAATCCAGCTTCTATCTAATTGCATGAAAGAGAGACTGACTGTTAAACGTGCTGAGTGAGTGCTGGAGAAACTGTTGACCTAGTATGCATGGGTGCAGTTTGCACAAGACAATCTGTATGTCTGGACCTGTATTTGTTTAGGAATTTTATTTTATTCACAGAGAAGTTGTGTACAGACAGGCTACCAAACACGCATGAGAACACCCTCTGCAGGGATTAATTGAAAATCTCTCCAAAGAGATGAAAGTAGAGAGAATTTTTTCTGCTGCAAAATGAATTCAACTCTCCAAATTGACAGTGAGATTTCTTTTTGAGTAGATTAATTACTTAGCAGATAATTGTAGCTTACCCAGAACAGAGAAGACTCAAGCCCAGAACAGAAAGACTCACTCCACCTTTGAGATCTTGCTAAATTTAACATTAGCTTAAATAACAAATATAATAGCTAAGTTCTCTTTTGGGCCATACAACTTGAAAAAATGTGTAATTTTGTGCAAATCACTTGTTACACTGAGGTTTGTCTTTATAAGCTGCTGAACGATAAAAAGAGATAATAAATGTGAAGATGCTTTGTAAACCATAAATTGCTATTAACATTTGAGAGTTTACTTTCATTCATAATATTATTGTAATTCATTTCTTTTTATTGAAGATTTTTTAAATGGACAATAGAAAAAGCTAAAACAAATGTTAAGCAAGTTTTGTTATTCCATATACACTAAGTTATTTTGAAAAACTGGTAGCTACTAATATTTGTTTAATTTATTCCAGAGAGAGAGAGACAGACATGGAGAGGGAATTGTATCTTTTTATAAAATATGTTATATTGTAAATATTTTGCATTTTAATGAATAATTCTCCCAAACTTGACTGCAAATGCATGTGTAACAGTTAATCTTCCCCCAGTACCCATATTTTCATGGGTTGCTCATTTAAATGCATTTCAAACTTTAAAAATTATAAATGATATCATATTAATAATTTTCGCACATCAATTATTATTGATATCTCTGACTATTTTTGTGGGACAGATTCCTAGAAGGTTCTGAAGTTACTGGGCCAAAGTTATACACTTGAAACAAATTGACAAATTATTTTAAGGAAAGTTTATACCAATTTGTGCTCTAACAAGTAAAATGAGAAAATTCTTTTCACAGCATATGTTCCCCAACATTAATGTATTTCCAAAGATATTTCTAATCTGTGATGCCAAACATTTTCTATTGTGTTAATTCGTGTAGATTTTTATCACTTTATAGCTCCACTGTCCAAAAGAGTAGCCACTAGCCACGTAATTTAAACTTAAATTAACTCAAGTTAAATAAAATTGAAAATTCAGTTCCTCAGCTGCGCTAGCCACTGTCCAGGCGGTCAATGGCACATGTAGCTAGCTGATGTCATATGGGACAGTGCAAAACAGTGCAAACATTTCTGCTGCTAGAGAAGCAAGACTTGATTTTCATGTATTCATTGGTTATTATTATTCGCTTTCAATTGCAAGACAGACACAGACACCTCGCTCAAACTTGCTTAAAAAATAAAAGTAAATTCAAGCATGTTTTAATCTATGATTTTAAACAATATTCTCTCTCTCTTTTTCTGCTTTAAACACATCAGTAAGCTCTTTTATCTTAGACCTTTTCCTCGTTTTCTACCACGCTCTCCATTTGGTGGCAAAGATGACAGCTTGTGGTTTACCACGTTCTCATAGTGAGTTCTCCCATTAGAGATACGGTTTGCTTTATTTAATCACATAAATTAATTATGAACAATTTTAAAAGGTTTAAAAAGATGCTTATAGAATTCAATTTTCCCATCCAGAATATAGTTAACACTCTACGTATTCACGTTTATTTTATAGATCATGGAAATATTTTTGTTTGTTTATTGGTTTTTATATATTTTACACATAAATCTTGCAAAATTTATACTAGGTACTTATTATTTCTGCTCCTATTCTCAAAGTGGTCATTTTTTCATTAAATCTTCTAAAAGCTTGTTGCTAATTTCTAAGAAAGATTTTGAATTTTCTATAGCTATTTTTTATCTGGTTATTTTGCTAACTAACTTATTGAGTCTAATAGTTTTTTCAGTTGATTCTCTTAGGATATGTAAGGCATAATCTAAACATAATCTTCAAATTATATTTTAGTAGAATTTGGTATATCTAAATATACTTGGTATATCTAGGTATAATCTTTGAATTATAAATGGACTGGTCTTTTTTATTTCAAATAGCTCCAATGGCATTTGTTCTTGTCTTTTTTTCATTCACCGGAATATTCCTAACCATTTAAAAAGTTTTGACGTAAAACTCTTGTTAACAGTTCCTACAGGTTTTTACTTTGAAAAAATTCGTATTGAAAAGATTTCATGTACATTTTAATTGCATTTTTAAAATCTCTGCTTGGTTGCATATGAGACAATTTAAAAATAGTTAAGGTGTTTTGGAAATAAACAACATTTTTAAGAGTTTTTGATTATCAAAAAGAGTTCGTTTAGGAGGGGAAAAAAACAACAAAAACCAAAGCAAATCCATGCTTCATACGAAATGCAGATACTCTTAGCTATCTGGTAAAAGGGCAAAAAATAAGACTTTAAAGTCTTTAGCACCATTTAAAAAAAATCATATTGAAAGATTTTTCTTTTTTTTTTCTTCTTCTTCTTGTATGACTACACAAGTAGAGGGTAGAGTTGGTAAGCCAGCATTACTCAGCTGCATCCTGCTCAGCCCGGAGCACAGGTGAGCTCTGCTGGGGGACCAGCTGCTGAGTCTCTCAGCCAGCTCCTGAGGGAGGGCTTTTCAGGCTCTGAGTTACAGAGTTGATGGGACTGCTGCCCCTCAGTGACTTCTCTCCATATCACCCTCTCCTTTCCTTCCTGCTCCTCTCCAGGCTGTCCCTAGGGAGGACAGTCTGTATGAAGAGATGCATGGCCGACCTTGAGCTACACACAGGTTGTCAGACAAGCATCCTCAGTGTGCACATCTTTGCTCTTGTACTGAGGGGTTGGGGTGCTGGGGTGGCTGCACACAGTAAGAGCCACCCCCTGCGGTGGGACAGATGTCTGAGGGCTGGCCTTCAGGAGCGCTGGTTAATCTTTCATTTCCTTCTCCACTTTCACAGTATCAGTTGTTTAGAGGAGGTTTCTCATATGGAGAGCATCTATAATGGCTAAAGCTACCCGTACATTTATTGCTTAACAGGACCTGCTCCAGAACCTGTGATATTAATGACATCTACACAGTTTCTCCCACAGTCTCTCTAATCCTGCATCGTGAAGTTTCTGGACTTAGATTGCTTTCTAAATGTCTTCACATTCACTTTGCACTTTTAAGAAACCGAAACTTGAAATTCAGATGACATGTTTGTTTAAAAACATAACACAGAATTCTGATCAATAGACATATCAAAGAAAAGACATTAGAGCTATATTGCAGTGGTGGTGAACAAATGTAATTTGCATGTTTTAAAAGTAAAATAAAATGTTAAACTTAATAATGTATCTTTAATCCCAGTGTTCAGTTTTTATTGTTATACTTTCTCAAATCTTGATAGCAGTGTTTTAAAAGTTTTGCAAAGCAAATTGGGTAACAGTGCATGCTTCTGTCTATGCTCTGGATTGTATTAAATATTTTGGAATTAATCTTTTCTTAAAATTTTGAAAAAAAATAAATTCATAGTATTGTTCTTATTGGTAGTCTAATCATTCTTGTTACTATTTTGACAACTTAAAATTTTCCAGGAAATTATCCAGTAAACAAGATTGTAAAAGTAACTGGCATTTAACCCTGTGTCTGACAGCCTCTCAGGTTTTGCACTCTGTTGTGTCTGCTGTTATAGCCCCATTATTATTTCTAACACCTTTATTTTCATTTGCTGTTTCATTGTTCATTATGTCAAAAGATTGATTCTTAAAATTTCTTATCTGTTTTATTATTTTCTATATTTTTATTTGTTTTTAGTTCATTCTTTTTACTTTCATTGGAGTTGACTTTTTATTTTTTGAATTTCATGAAATCAGTGTCTAGTTTATATCTATTTGTTATTCTTTGATAAATGGAATACTTTATGAGATGAATTTAACTCTGGATTGTGGGCAGGAAGCCACTGCCAGGACAGAATATAGAGGGAGAACGGTTTCCGTTAAGCAAAGAGGTGCATTTTATCTCCCTGTCTGCTTAATCAGTACACAGAACATATCATACAAAAAACTGGGCTGAGCTCCAATGAAGGACGAGTGAAAATTGGTGAAAGAAATATCAACAATCTAAGATAGGCAGAAGACACCATCTTACCGGCAGAAAGCAGCAGTCAGTCAGTCATGCAGAACAACTTGAAACGACTTCTAAAGAAAATGAAAGAAGAAAGTGCCAAAGCAGGGCTGCGTTTGAACATCAGGAAGATAAAGATCACAACAAAAAAAGAACCACACAACTGTAACACAGACAATGAAGGCATTGAAATTGTTAAAGATTTTGTTTACGTTGGTTCAGTCATCAATTTAAACGGAGACTGCAGCCAAGAAACCATGAGAACACAGACCTGGAAGGGCAGTAAAGAAAGAATTAGGAAATATCATCAAGTGTAAGGAAGTGTCACTAGAGAACAAGGCCAAGATTATATGCTCATATTCCCAATTACTATGTACGGGTAGGAAAGATGGAGAGTGAAAAAGTGACAGGAAATAATGGATTCATTTGGAATATGGCGTTGGAGGAGAGCTCTACAAATACCCTGGACTGCTAGACAGATGAATGAGTGGGTCCCAGAGCGAATTAGGCCTGAACTATCAATGAAGGCAAAAATGATAAAACTGAGGCTGTCCTACTGTGGGCCCATCATGAGATGCAGGATTCTTTGGAAAAGACAATAATATGAGAATCATAATGGAAATAGTAGAAGGTAGCAGGAAAAGAGGATGACCAAATACAAGATGGACTGACTCTGTAAAGGAAGCCATAGGCGTGAGTCTACAGGAGCTGGGGAGGGCTACTGAGGAGAGGACACCGGGCATCACTCATTCATAGGGTTGCCAGGAGTGAGAGCCAACTTGATGGCATGCAACAAGAATAACATAACAGCATCCCATGTGTTGTAATAAGAGATAGCTTCCTTCCTTCTTTTCTTTCTTTCTCTCTCTCTCTCTCTTTTTTTTTTTTGTTAATTTACACATTCCTGTTTCTTTTGCTTTGGTGTTTTATAGATTACATGATGTATTTCTCATCCGGGATGAGCTGTCTCTTCCAGGTTTGAGGACATCCTTGGGCTAACGTACTTGGGTGCTGCCAGTTTCTGTCTTTCGTAGCTGATCCTAAGTTCAGATTGACATGCACAGCACTCCCTTATTTCCTGTCATGTGCAAAGTAGTCATCTAGTGTTGTTCTGTTATCTTGAGTGTGAATCTTGCGATTGGTCAGCTTCTCTGACAATGGTGGAGAGTTAGAAGCAGTCTGCAATTCCTTTTTGAGCCTAGTTTTATAGGAAATTCCACACAAGCTACATGAGCTCTTCCTGACACTGTCTAGTTTCTTGATTAAAAATTGTTCCTAGAAGGCCAACATCGCACGATATAAGTCTGTTCCATATGTGCTCTCTGGCTTTACCATTTTTGTAGGCTGGGAGTCTATGAATCAGATACAGATAAGGGGGAATGAAAAGCTTCAAATATTTATTGTGTTCCAGGCCATGTACACACTGAGCGAGCGTGCGACTCTGTTACTCAGCAGGTACATCTACTGAGCAAGAGGATTTGGGCTGGTGTTCATCAGCATTTGTGTATTTTTATTTTCTTGGTTGTGTCTTGCCTCATTTTATGGTCAGTGGAATTCCTGGGTTGCCTGAGAAGGGGCGAGCCATATAAGAGTTTCCGAAAGTCTGTTCCTATGATTTCTGCTTATGACTTGCAGCATAGAAATTTAGACAGTTAGTCCAGAATGTATTTCTCAGTACCCACACACAATAGAAAGTATAGTCAGGAGAAATACTGCCTCTTCTTGAGTCTATTGTCCATTTTTATCTTTAATATACTGTGCTAGTAGATTCTACTTAAATGAATCTTTATTTAATATATTTTAATGTGATGAGAGAGCCATCTTCTCCTTGCTAAATAGAATTATTCTCTAATTTGTTGAGTAACATGAAGAATCGGTAGAAACTCCTATTGACTTTAGCATATGTATCATCATTATGGGATTTATGTCAGCCTTGCAGATAAGCTCTAAAAGTAGGATGGGGGAGCAAGGAGAAAGAGAAAAGAAATCATCATCACTTTGTAGCACCTAAATTCAATGTATTTCAAAGTCTGAAAATTGCACAAATAGTTTAATTTGATTGGCACAGATGGCGAAATTAGAGCAACCCTTGGCCTTGGGCTATGCTCCTGGATTTCATTTATTCAACAAATATCTATTGTGTTTCAGGCAATGTACCCATCATTGAGGATAAAATGGAGAAAAAGATATGTGGCTTCTGCCCTTTTAGGGTATATATCTTAGTGAGGAGACTAAAACAAAACAAAACAATGCAGCAACAATATTCTTAAAGAACAGTCAATTGGATAAAATCACTGACAGTTTGCATCAAGTACAACAAATAAAAAAAGAGCTAAGTTAAGAAAAAATGGACAGATGGATGGTTAGGGAAGTCCTCTTTGAGCAAGGATATTTAACCTGAGAACAAACTATGAGAAGCAGAAGTAGTTAAATGAAAGGGAGACAGAAACCAATAAAGGTAGAGGTAATAGCATTCATAAGGACATAGAGGAGGGGAAAAAACGCAACTCAGTATGTTTGAGGGTCAGAGAGCTAACTGGAGAGTTGTGACCAGATAGGAGTGTGGTAAGAGGTGAGGTCAGCAAGATGGGCAGCGGCCAGGTCATGCCCAGCATTGTGGGCCATGGTGAGATGGGCCATGGTTCTGAGGGGCGTGAGAAGAAGGGTAGGAAGCATTGGAAGGATTTAAACAGGACAGTAACATGATCTTATTTATAATTTAAGAACAGTACTGTCTGGAGAATGAATTAGAGAAGAGAAAGTTGGGACCCCTGTTAGGAGGATGTTGGCAATAATCTGAGTGAGAGCTAATGGCAACCTGCACTAAGATGGTAGAAACTAGGACGGAGGACAGAGAACAGGTTCAGAGTATATTTTAGATGCATAATTGATGAGCCTGTATTTATATCAGTTAACAAAGTATAGGAGTTGATGTACTCATCCAAAAGGAAGGTGCGCGAAGAGAAAACTGTTCTGAGCTTGGAGAAACTGCAAGCCCCAGGGGTTTGGTAGAATGAAAGTGGCGAAGGAGATGTAAAAGAATTGCCAGGAAGGCATGGAGTTCACTGATGACCAAGAGCAGATTTAAAGGAATAATTGGAGCAGGAAGTCCCAACGTTCGGTTAAAATTGATGAGAATAGAGGAAATGGAGACCGCATCTTAGACAATTCTCAAGGAACATGTAAAGGGAGTAGAGAAATAATCTGTTAGCTAACAAGTGCTAGGAGGTCAAGGAATGATTTTTTTTCATTCTGAAGATGGGAAATTCTGGGACAATGTATGTCTACTGATTAGAATGATACATTAGAAAGAAAGATTAATGAGGTAGGAGAGAGAAGAAAACAACTGAAGGATCAAGTCCTTGGGAAAGTGAATGAGGATGGAATTCGAGGATAGGTAGGATTGGCTTTGATAAGAGAATGGACTTGGCTTCCTTTTTAATCTTGGGCGGAAAGAAAACGTAGGTGCATGTATAGACAGGCCACTGGTTCAGTGGTGGGAATACAAGGATTTATGAGCCCGATGGTTTCTATTTTCAGTGAGTCTGAGAGTGCATGTGGGAGAATGGTAGAGATTTCAGTAACAAGAGGATATGGAAATACAATACTGGGAAAACATAGTTTTAGTGCCAGGAATTAGTATCAATTGAGGTTTAAGATTATGCATTTAAAGAGAATCTACTGCTGTTGTTTGAATCCTCCTGGTGTGGATTAAGAATCACACTGAACAATTGTGATAAGGAAAGCAAACCCAGCAATTAGTGATCCTTTCATTGTGTAGCCTTGAGGCTCCATTTGGTCACCACACCCACTGCCAAGCCTCTGGAGTTAGCTATTACTTTGCTTGCCCTCCTTTTACACCCCAGGAAAGCTGGGTTTGGCTACTTGGTTGCTGCTTTTGAGAAATACCAATGCTTACTCTAAAAGTTCCCAAATAAACTTCCATCTGAAAAATCTTAATCAGTATCTATTGTCCTACTTCTCCAAGAAACATTCAAAATTCCTGAAATCTGAATATTTTCTCCCCCTCACAATGGCAGTTTTGTGTGTTTCTATGAAAGTACTTATGACATTTCGTCATTATCTGGCCCCTGCCAGCAGTCGCCCCATCTTCTCGTTCCATGTGGGCTGTCTCTTTGAGACTGTGCAATGTTTCTTGTCTTGGGTATGTAGCACATGTTGAAGCCTTTACTCAAAATGCTGACACCAAATTGTTTTTCTGATTAAATATCATGCCGATAGAAAGGTCTTCCCTAACTCTTCATACTAGATTTTTTCCCCTCTGTGTTCAAACATATCTACGCCTTCTCCCTAGGAGGGCACTGCCCTCCTTCACCCCATAAACATCTCATGGCTTAGACACGTGACTAGCTTTGACTGATGAAATGTCAGTGGAAAATACATGTCACTTCCAGCTAGAAGATTTAAGAGCTGACACTTTATTCACCATACTCTCTTTCTTTTCCACCCTGAGATCTCGAACACATGTGCCAAAGATGGAATACCTGTCAGTGTGGGACCCTGATTGACTGTGGTGAGCAGAACATGTGGCCCTGGCTTCAGAGCTGGACAGTGAAAAGTAAGGAAATCTTAGGGTTTATAAGGATGGTGACCCATGTCAGATCACAGAGAAACACTTAGAAAACTGCCATCCATGGGAAATGGGAAGGCAAATATGTTCTAAGAAGATCATACATAGCTTTAGACAAGTAAATGGGAATTCAGACTTTTGGTGGCACGAGTTTTTTGGTAATATTTGCATTTAAGGAGGGTCTATGAGGAAGAGATAAGATCAGGAAAGAATTGTCCAATTTACGAACAGGAAGAAAAAGAAATGAAAAACCTATAATCAATAAATTGAAAGGTTGGAAGATGCAATCAATTCTTAGTCTCCCAACTTTGAGCCCCATAGGTTGGTTAAAATCGAGCCAGGGACAAGGGCCAAATCCTGAGAAACATTGAAGTCTTTGTTAAACCTTGTAAAATTTTACTGAATTACTTTCAATTGGATAAAATGGTTCAGATAGAGACAGAATTACCTTTTCTCTTCTTTGGAAATCCAGTAGACTCAAGGTACAAGCAGTTAAGTCTAGAGGGAAAAAAATGCAGATCCAAAAAGAGATTTTGGATGTAGTTATTTGAAATAAAGTGGAAAAGAGACTGACACCATTTTTGAGAAACTGTCTTACTAAGAGGACACTAGTCTGAACTAAAACAGAGTGATCCTTAAGACTTAAATTGTGTCTTAGGCGTCCAACCTTATGCAGAAAGGAAGCCTGCTAAGAATCTGCTGAGTCTTCAGGAGAGGTATTCTATACTGATCTCTTCAAATGTGTCCAAGTAGGATAATTAAAAGGAGGGTGGGACCAAGGAAGAATTTGATCAATGGACCAAGGAACAGAACAGTGTCTTAGTAAAGCAACGTCTGTCAATGGGGTTTTAGAGTGTTTATTGAAATTATGCAGTCTCTCTTCCATCATTGATGTATTGCTTGTAGAGAGAGAATTTTCATCTTTGTTTTTCTTTTTTTAGTATACAGTATAGATCTCCAGAGCCAGAGGAGCTATTTCCTTTGCGTAAGGAATTCATGTATTTGCAAGCAAAAAGGGGAATGAAATTAATATTTGTGATCAGAATGGCAGACTGTGGGAGACCGTATTGTCATTTGTAGCTATTTGCTCTCCCTCTCGAGTAGAGGACACTTCTCTTCCCATTGAAAAAGGCCTGGCCAAGTGAAAGTGAGCATTGTGTTTGTCAACGGTAGTGATCAGAAATGGCTTTAAGAAGTAGTGTGTGGTTAGCCATGCTCTCTTTTTCATCCCAGCTCTTACGATTATGGGTTGAGATAGAATCTCCATCAGCCTGGATGCCTGAGTGACTACTAAGAGTGGCATCCTTGTGGACCAGCAAATGACTTGTGAGGCACATGAGAAATCGACTTCACTGTTTTCAGCTAGTTCAGTTAGTTTGTTTGTGTGTTTCCTCTACAGAACCTTGCCTATTCCGAGTCCTCCTATTACAACTCTCATAGCATCCTGCTCTTTTTCTGTCACCATCAGGTGTATCATTAGTTTTGTAACTTTTTACACATTGGGGTGAGAAATAGTGTTACTTCTTCAGCTAGAAATGCCTAAAGAAGGGTACTTTTTGTTTAGGAACTTTGATCAGATGCCCAGGAATAGCAGGTAGGGCTCTAAGCAACTGCGTTGGAGGGACAAGAAGGAGAGAGATAAAATGAGCATTTATGAACTATGAACTGGAATTTGGGGCTAGTAGAGAGGGCAAAGAAAGGAGAAGAAAGAAGAGAGATTAGCAAAGGTTCTGAGTAATTTATAGAACCATGCTGGAGACAGCAGGAAAGGAAGAGGAGCCTTCCAATTACAGGGGAGTCTGTCCTCAGCGCAGGCCATTCAGTCATCACGAGAAGGTGTGTGTCTGCTGGATAGGGCAGCCCCAAGGAAGCTCTGAGAGAGATGCTGTTCTTCCACGAAGGGTCGAGCATGTATTAGAAGTTTGTGTTTGCCTGTCAGCCCATGTAAAAGAGTAAGCCCTCAAATGAAAAATGGGAGCCAAAGGTGATTAGATGAACTGTAAGTTCCCGGGAATTTCCCGAGATCTTGGGAAATGAAGGAATTTCCATAGCATATGAGATGGGAACTTGGGCAGAATCTCTGGATCTGAAGGGCATTGGTGACCCCAGCTGACATTGGGCTTACATTTATTTCATGTATATCTCCTCTGCTGCTCTGCAAGCTCCCTGAATGTGGGGACTGGGTCTACTTGTTCAATATTTTTATTTCAGTGCCTACTATAGCTCCAGGCATGGATGAATGAATGAATGAACAAATGACTGGATGAATTGGATTGAGTTATTTATGTATATATCTTCTTCTCCACCTGATTGAGAGTTTCAGCGACCTAAAAGCCATATTGTATGCCTCTCGACATCCCTGCTAAATAAGGACAGTGACAAAGTTTGGGAAGTTTAGGTATTAAACTAAATTGTTTTCCTGGTTATTTGTTTTAGTTGTCATTGTTATTGTTTTAATTAACTCCATTTGTCTGATTGACTTCCCTGAGTCCTCGGAACTAAATGTCTTTGCCTGGAAATGTCTATTCCTATCTCTGAGGCTGCAGAAAAAACAGTCAAGTGGAAAATTATGACTTTCGAGGCCAGATGGATGTAGGTCCAAATCCTAGCTCACCCAAATACAATCTTGGGCAAGTTCCTTAGCTTGGCTCCTCTTTCTCTAAAAGAGGGATCGTAATGCCCACGCTGAAGTTTTTTGTGACAATTGAATTAGACCACATGTTTGAAGCCCCCTGCAAAGTGTTTGATGTGTTGTAGATGCTCCGTACGTTTTGGATCCCTGATAGGGGCCTGATGCTGCAGCCAGAAATGAAGCAATCCCATCCCCAGTTCCACAGCACTCGTCAGCAGAACCAGTCCTGGTGCTTTCATGCCCTTGTTGAAGCTGCACTGTTCTCGTTGCCACTGGGAGATCATTTCTAAGCTTTCACTATTGCCATTTGGGATAGTGCCTGGTAAGAGCAGTTGAGGTTACCCAGTTCTGATATCATCCTTTAAGCAAACTATGGTTTCTCCAGACAGACAGACAGAGGAAAATGAATTGTACAAAATGAGAGGGATTTTTGAAACTTGGGCTCTTCACAGATCAAAACAAAGAAGAATGTTCTTTCCATTGAAACTTTTCGTTATTTGTCTGAATTCTGGAACTGAGGAGGTGATATGGAGGGAGAATGTAAATAGGATGACATTATCATTCTATAATTTTTTCAGAGTTTACAACTGGTTTAAAAATGTACACTTATGTCATTTAGGTTAAAAGTTAACTGGACATGAGACATAATAGCAAGCACGTGGAGGTCATGGCCATCCTGGGCGAGGCCAGAGCTGTGAGATATGCAGCCACAGGATCAGTAACTATGATTGTCCCAAACAATCATTAATTCCTCGGACACTTAATGTCCTGAGAACATCTACCGTGTGATGCTAGGGGAGTGTCTAGGACCTAGAGTCCCAGGTTGCTGACCTGTTCCCAGACGAGGTCTGGTTGTGGGTCTGATATCACCAGCCACAGGCTGCATAGATTCTTCTGTCTCTGGGATCTGGGAACCAAGTCAAAGCAAAAGTGACCCACCCAAGTTTCAGGAAATATCACAGAGAACTAGGGAACCGCTGCAGCCTGTGTGGGTTGGATGCACCACAGACGCAGGTGGGAGGCCATGACTCATGATACCTGTGCTGTGAGCGGGAAGTGGAGGGTTCTCAAGAAGAAATAAAGTTATTTTCCTCATTGCTGTTGGCATAGGTCATCGATGCGGCTTTATGCCAATTAAAAAAGTTAATGGGAAACCTGTTCCTCTTTCTTTCCTTGTCAGATCCTCTACAATTTGGAAAGTGATCCCTTGAGACAATGGGTTCCATTTTTGAGTGCTTTTTCTATACCTCCCAGACTAAGAGATTTGGAAATGGTAAGTGGATATTAGATAAAAAAATGAGTTTGAATTTAATAAGACACCTCTGGTGCTCATATGACATGTTTGCTTTATGTTTCATCAGCATGTGATCATAACCCTGCCCCGCTAAAACCTGTAGCTGTCGCTCCATCACCTACAAGATGGTGCCAACATCATTTCAGCTGATATTCAAGATCCTCCCTGGGCTGGACTCTGGTCCCTTCTCAGCCTCAGTTCCCTCTGTGCCTTCTCTCAGGTTCTATAAACAGGTCAGGCTGAACTACTTGCATTTCATGAGTCAAGCTGTTTTCCCACAGATCTGTACTTTTTTATTTGCAGGGGCAACTTCTGCTCATCATTTAATATTTAACTCAGGATTCTCCTCTCTGTGTACCTTCTGTGACTTGTGAACATGGATCCAACCCCTCCCTCTTATGTACTGAAATTGTACCTGGTACACACTTCTATACAACACTTACATTGTGTCACAGTAATACACTGACTTCCTTCAGGTCTTGTAAATTGAGGAGAGAGAATCAGTCCAATGGATGGCCAATCCCATGGTTGGCACATAGAAGGCACTTACAAAAGTTTATTGAATTGAAATGGAAATTTCACCTTAAAAAATATTTTTAATCATTAACAAAGTTGGAGCTTTATACACAAAAGATAATAAAGGAAGAAAATAGCAAAAAGACCAAGAAATAGCTATCTATGGCTGATTTAACTTGTTTACCATCAGATGCTTTATTTTTATTCCTGCTATCAAACGTGTGCCCATCTCCTGAAGAGGTGTAATTTCAAAAGCCATAAATTCTTTTCTCTTTACATCACAAAAGAGAGAGGACAAAATCAGCGATCAAGGGAAAGCATGAGACAGACATGCCCTTGGAGAAGCCACAGCCTGTCTCTGGTGACCACGACTAATAGGAGCCAAGAAGGTCAAAACCCTGCACCACAGCATCTGTGACTCAGGTCCCAAGTACACGGGGCCTGAGGAGGCTCTGGTTGCATTCAAGACATGATGGATATTTAAGATGCCAGTGACATAATCTGACAAAAGTCCGTTTTCTTCTATCTGAGTGCAAAGCTGAAGTCCATTCTCAGAGACATGAAAATCAATCACTGTGCAGCTTCCTAGAGAGTCAAGTAACAGGTCCCTTCTGGGCCCTCCCAGATCATTCCTAAGCAAAAGCTAGATTGCTTTTCTTCTCTCCTTCAAATATGTTTAACCATCACGTGAACTCAATGCATCCCAACGGCCCCCACAGCTCGTGTCCACATGGTGTCGTTACTGAGTCCTTTGTATCAGCTCCAGTTCTTCTCTCTTCAGGTTTTGAGCAGAAAGGAAGTTCTCCGGAGCCTTATTGCATGCTCATCTCCACCTGCTCTCTGCAGAAGTTTCCAGATTGCTCCTCATTCAGTTTTGGAAAATTGGCCTTAATGTTTATCAAATATCTACTCTGTATCAGACATAAGGCATATGCATACATGCATCATTTTATTTAGTCTTCATGACAAGTGGGAAGGGAATTATTATTGTCCCCATTTTAAGGATAGAGGAATGCTAGAGCAGAGACGTATAGGAACGCAGCTTGGCTCCCGGAGCTAACCTCTTGGAGAGCAGAGATTCCCAGGATTTGGACCCTGAGGCCCATTCTCTTAAGCACTATACTTCCTTGCTCTCTTTCTTCTGCCTGAGCACTGCCATTAGGCTCCTGTGCTCACATGTTCCAGCCACCCAGGCAGGGCCAGCCGAAGTCATCTGTGAGATTTTTTAGCAAACACACAGCCCTAAATACAGCCTGGTGGCCCATGTGACTCTAGAGGCTCCAGACCACCTGAGTTGGCCACCATTCACTGAGGACACTGTTTCTCCCTCCTTGGCTCTTTAGAGGATTCAAAAGTACATCGGAGCACACGTGCTTTAAAACATCACTAGTGAATTGCAACTTCTTTATAATCAAAACATCGAAAAGAGATCTTCCTTTGGAGTCCTCAGGAAAGGCTATGCCCTGTTATCCCATGTCAAGACCAGGAGCCAGTCCGCAGACTGGAGGTGAGACTTTATTTGGAGGATCTCTGCAAATGAGCAAAATAAATAAAATTTATTTTTAATGCCCACTCTGCCAAGCACTTTGACAAGGGATTTTTTTTTATTGAGTTCATAATAGTTTACATCAATGTGAGATTTCAGTTGTACATTATTTCTTGACTGTCACCACATAAGTGCTCCCCTTCACCCCCTGTGCCCACCTCCCACACCCCTTCCCCTGGTAACCACTGAACTGTTTTCTTTGTCCATGTGTTTGCTTATATTTCCACATATGAGTGAAATCATCTGGTGTTTGTCTTCCTCAGACTGGCTTATTTGGCTTAGCATAATTCTCTCCAGGTCCTTCCATGTTGTTGCAAATGGGATAAATTTGTCTTTTTTCTGGCTGAGTAGTTTTCCATTGTATATATATACCACATCTTCTTTATCCAGTCCTCATTCGATGGGCACTTGGATTGTTTCCACGTCTTGGCTGTTGTGAATAGTGCTGCAATGAACATAGGGATGCATATGCTACTATGGATTGTTGATTTCAAATTGTTTGGGTAGATACCCAGTAGTGGGAAAGCTGGGTCATATGGTGGGTCTACTTTTAGTTTTTTGAGGAATCTCCATACTGTTTTCCATAGTGGTTGCACCAGTTTGCATTCCTACCAGCAGTGTTTGAGGGTTCCCTTCTCTCTACACCCTCTCCAACATTTGTTATTTTTAGTCAGTGATTATAGCCATTTTAACAGGTGTAAGGTGGTATCTTAGTGTAGTTTTGATTTGCATTTCCCTGATGATTAGTGATGATGAGCATCTTCTCATGTGTTTATTGGCCATCTGTGTATCTTCTTTGGAAAAATGTCTGTTCAGATCCGCTGCCCATTTTTTGATTGGGTTGTTTGTTTTTCTATTGTTCAGTTGTGTGAGTTCCTTATATATTATGAAGATTAACCCCTTGACAAGGGATTTTTAAGCTCTCTGAGAACTAGGATTCGGTGTGTCTTGTTTGTTGTTCCCTCAAGACTTAGGACCGTTTTAAACATAGTGTGGCATATAAAAAGTACAATAATTCATTATATACTTACCACAACAAATCTGTAAGATAAGCATTTCGACAAGCATTAAAGGATCTGAAAACTAAGGCTTAGAAAAGTCCAGTAAGCTGCCCAAAGTTACTCAGTATATGGCACAGTTGTCATTGAAAGGACTGATTCCAAAGCCCATCTTTGTTGTACAGTGCCATTCTGCCTTTTCCCTGACACTGCGTTTGATAGACTGGTGATGGGCTTCACATAGTCCATTTTCAGTCCTGGTAAAGAAAAACACACCATCGACTAAAGCTCATTCTCCTTGTCACTGATTCACCTCTTTCTCATTTGATGCCAATCTTCCCACATGCTGGATTTCCTGAGCAAAGTGTCTTGTGCAGGTAACTTCTGTCTTCTGGAAGGTTCTTGATAGTACTCTTTTTATTAAAAAATAAATACAATATAAAGTGGTTTACAATTCCTCCATCTTGATAAGTACTCTGTGCTTATCTCTTCTCTCCCGTAGAGAGTTTAAGCCATGTTGAGAAGTTTGAACTTTAGTCTAAGGATAATGAGGAATCCCTCAGCAAACTTTAATAGATGAGCAACCTAATAACATTTGGTTTATTTGAATACTTGTATGTCAAAAAGATGAAGAATGGAATGGAGAGAGAGAAGCCTGGAGTCAGGGAAATGGGTTAAAAGAATACTGCATGACTCCAAGTGAGATACTCAGGCATTGTGTGGTAAAGAAATGAACTCTCCCCTAAGAGAAGTCTGGCATTTACCCTTGGTGCCTGGGAGATAAGCTCTGAGCCCTGGAATGTCATACCTAACAGGAGTGTTTTTGCTCAGGGGGCCTTGGCACACATCCTGATAGTCCAACAACATGTTTTAGGGTGGAGGCTTTGGGTCACACGGTATTATCTTGACCTCTGGAGGGGCTGGAGACCAAGGTCAGTCATGTGGGCAGCCAATCAGGTTTACATGCTCCAGCCCAATAAACACAGTGGACGTCAAGGCTCAAGTGAGCTGCTCTGCATGGTAATGCTCTGTGCATATTATCACACATCGTTACTGAGAAAGTAAGCTGCCCACAACTCCAGTGGGAGAGGAAAACTGGAAACTCCATGTTTGGAACCCTCCTGGACTCCACCCTGTCCACCAGTTCCCTTGGCTGCTGCTAATCTGTGACCTCTATCTGTACTAAACTGTAACAGTGAGTACAAGCACTTTCCATGAGTCCTGTGAGTCCTTCTAGCTCATTAACGAAACTCAGAGTGGTCTTGGGAACCCCTAGATATGCAATTGGTGTCAGAAGTGAGGATGGTCTTGGGATTGTTCCTTCAAATTTTGCAGGTGTCCAGACCAGAGGAGTAGAAGGGGGAATGGAGAGGAGCAGAGGTTTTCAGGAGATTTTTAGAAAATATTACTGGTGAGGTTGGTGGTCCGAGTGGATGTGGTGAGGGGAGGAGGAGACAGATTCATCTAGGATGGCATTCAGATTTCTGACTCGGCCACTAGTTGAGTGGTTTGTGAAACTTACCCAAACTTGATTTTGTCTTCTAAGACATTTTCCTGCTAATGCCTAGAACGGTGTCTTGGACATTTTAGATACAAAAAACATGCTGAATGAAGAATGGGCTGGGGCAGTGGGGATGACCTGACTAATTTATTAACCCAAATGGGAACTGACAGTTAATTTAAAGTGGAACATTAGTTGGAAGATAAACCCCACAGTTTTTAAATCTATCTAGGAAACCAGATTATAGATTGAATGGATGCTCACAATTAGAGGAGAGCTGTGACTGTCTGTTCATGTGCCGCATGCTTACAGAAAGAGGTTAAGGCAGCTTTTTTTTTTTTTAAAGATTTTATTTTTTCCTTTTTCTCCCCAAAGCCCCCAGGTACATAGTTGTATATTCTTCGTTGTGGGTCCTTCTAGTTGTGGCATGTGGGACGCTGCCTCAGCGCGGTTTGAGGAGCAGTGCCATGTCCGCGCCCAGGATTCGAACCAACGAAACGCTGGGACGCCTGCAGCGGAATGCACGAGCTTAACCACTCGGCCACGGGGCCAGCCCCAAGGCAGCTTTTAAATAAAGAAGTTAAATCATCTGAAAGATGAACTCCATCAAGCCATGATAGTAAACACCATCTCACTTCAATTCAGACACCTGTTGTCCGAATACCAGGCTTTGATCCTCCACTCTGAACATCTAGAACTGAGAAGCGTCCTGAACAAAACTTACTACTCGTGAGATCGCATTCTGTTGTGGTCTTTTTAGATCACTGACTTTTTTCATCCATTCTTTGGTTGCCACAAAATTGAATTCCTGAAATTTTCTTTATATTTATCATATTGCTATCTTATGGCTAAGGCCAGATTTTGGTCAAGGTTTCCTTGCTGACGTATATTTTTCTCATTTTTATACTCTCTTCTCTTTAGTAGGCTCAGATTACCCAAATGCTCTCTGGTTAAGCTTTTAGAATCACCATTGTCTCATTAGTATTACATGTATCCATTCATTAAATTGAAAAAGATCAGAAGACTGGATAACAATTCCTTCCCCTCGCTACCTGAGAGGTATTGATAGTGACTGTGTAGTTGAAAACAGTAATATTAGTAACAACAGTAATACATGGCCTGTTTAGTTTTCAGGCTTTTGAGGAAGATTAAATATGATATCAAAGCCAAAGTACTGTGTAAAATATAAAACTCTATGCAACTGTTAGCTACATACTTTTTAAATAGCCCAGTTCTCGGTAATGACCAAAATCTTTTTTTTCTGTGTGAATTCTGTTAAGCCCAACTTTAAGGACTTTTCACTTTACAAAATAACTTCACCACTTTTATCCTACTTATTCATAACAATCTTGTAAGGTGGTGCTTATTATAAATTCCGTAAATAGCAAATAGAATTGCAGAGAGACCAAGTGACATGCATAAGGTTGCACAACTTCTAGGCTACAGAGCTACAAATTGAGTTAGACTTATTCACCTTTACATCCTATGCCACCCCTATATGCCACATTTCTTTCCAGGTGGGAACCATTCATAATGCAGACAAATAGCATTTAGTTCTTTTCTCAAACCCTGTATCCTTCCTTAAAAGCAGGGGCATGGTCCAATTATTCATGTGACAAGAAGACTCAAGTTGCAATAATACATTTGTTCTTTTTAAATATTCTCTGATTAGTCTGGATTTATACAATATTGAGGGATAATAATAACTTGTTTCCTAGCAATAAGAATAACTGCTAACATCACAGGAAGGTTCCAGGACTGGTCACCACATCTCATTTAATCCTCACCACAAACTTATGTCAGAGACTGTTATTATGACTATACAGATGAAGGGCCCAGAGGTAAAGTCATTAAGTCGTGGACTCAAGTGGAACAGCTGGTCCAAAGCAGGGCTGTGTGTCCACCCCGGGCAGCAGACTCCTGAGCTCGGTTGCTCAGCTGTGGCTTTTGCTAATGTAAGCTCAGCTTTTCTTAGTTCTCTTTGGTCCAGACCTGCTCACAGGGAAAGAAGTCCATGGCCAGTTTGAGACAGTAGATGGAGTCACTTGTGAGTTTTCCGAGTGTATTGAGAATGTCTACAAATATGTGTGATGCAGCAGTCAGCATGGTTTTTATTGCGTAGATAATTCTGGAGGGGCAATGTAAATGCACTAAGTTCTCCTCTGAAAAGGTAACCCCTGTGTGGAGAATACTCGGGGAGTCTCAATCCTTGGAGCGATGACTTGGTGGAAAATTGAAATGTTTGTAATTGAAAGTCCAGAGTGAAATGCCTTCCTAACCTGAGAGGGGCTGTTGTGATAATGACACTAATAATTTAAAAGCAAACAATGAAAATAAAAAACTCTTTTCACAATTGCATTCGCTCATGACACAGGGACAGCGCTGCTCTCACCCGCGAAGAGCCAGTTGTCTCTTCTGTTTGTACCCAGCTCACCGAAGCTTCTGGGATGAGGTAGGGCAAACACAGGCTTTTTACACTGCCTGCCTCCCTTTGGGATTCCCTCCCTAGCAGTTGCTAACTGTGGCCCTAGGGCAGTTCCTTAA